GGCCTATTCCACCAGCTTGAGCGGCTCAAACGCGTCAGTTATTAGTATACTTTAGCGTCAGTCCACCTTTAGCGTAAATAAAAGAACAGCACAACTTGGTTGCCTAAAAGGTGCAAGCACTGTTCACAAATTCATGGATGCATTAGGAATCAATGTCCTTTGATGCTGTATAAGAGTAAATTGTATGGTCCTGGAATACTTACGGAAAGCTTTAGAAGTAAGCGCAATTTCATAAAATAAGATACATTGATTAGACCAGTGTGGGTCGCTCGCAGCATACGCATCTGCCAACTTCCCTTGGCACTGTAACTGCAGGTTGCAATAAAGCCCATATGCAGGGCAAAAACAAAAAAGTAGGACTAGGAAAGAAATATGCACACCGGAAACGCTCGCTCGCGACTGGAAGGTTATCGCACGTGTTAACAAATATATATTAAAAAACGGGGCGTCTATCGAGCATGTCACAAAGAGGTACAAAAGAACTAAGAATTGAGACGCGTGTTTACAGTTGAATAATAAAGTCAAGTTTCTTGTGTTACGATAGTGAAGGTTAATTGACTTAAACAAGGTCCTTTATGATAAGTCTCCGAGATTTCTCGCGCTGCTGGTTAGGGAAACTGAGCAAAACTACCAGGCCTTCAGATGAAATTGCATTTGCATAACTGAAAACGAGAGGTGTGATGAGATGGCTTCATTCAATGTATTTTGATGCTATCTGAGGCGCGTGTTGATACATCAGCCAGTCTGAACAATGTATATATGTGAACACAAGAGGAGTTCTGTTAGCAACTCTTGCACAACAATTGAAAAAACAATTGGCATGCCTCTAATAGTACTTTTCTCTGCCCACTGCAGACCGCTGCCACCTTTTGCGCTCTGCGAAAGAAATGTTACTAAGCTTTAGGTGCGGAAAACACAACCCTCACCTTGTATTGTTTCCTTCTTCCTTTGAAGGGCCAGTCAACAGGCTGCGACTTTTTTTTTTTTACACCCTCTAAATAAGCTTGGTAATTCGTAGAGTAGACTGCAGTGATCGCGTTTTCTTAATATTACAGAGCTTTGCACCACACAAAGCCTCCATTTCGAAAAACAATTTTTGCGCTCCTTGCATGCGCAGTGAGAACTCTGCGAACGGCGATGTGACGCAGCTCGTCGATTGGTCTGGTTTAGGTCTCAACCAACAGTAGTGAAGTCAACGACAGTTCCTGTTCCCACCCACAGCTATGATGGAGCTATTCAATCATAAGAGTTGCAAAATCCCTGCAGGCTCCATGCATTGAAATCGGGACACTTCACTGACCCAGTTTTTGGAAGTGAACATATTGTCGCGTCACCTGTTGATCACCACACCCACTAGTGAGTGCATTATTTGCGTTTTGTGTTGCTGCTCCCAGACGGCGCGACAGTGTGCTCCCAAAAAACTCGAACTTCAGTAAAATCTGGCCAACTTCATGTCCAGGTTTTGGAATGCAGTTTTGTTACAAATCGTTGTCTGCTCCAAATCGAGTGACTGGGCTGCGGAGAAGCAACGGCACCGGGTAAACAGTAAACAACCAGTCATCGCAGCAAGCGGAAGTGCGTTGCGAATAATCAAGTTCACCGATGACTTCAATCGCTGACATCTTGTCGCATTGCCGAAGTCGGCGGAGTCGCGATGACTGGCCACGCCTTCCACTTCCTCTGAAGAAGGGTGGCGGGGCCAGGGAAAATTAGAAGCCAGCTGAACACTAAGTTCTAGCCCCTGCAACTTCCTTAATATAGCAGGTGTTTGCAAAATTCTTGCGGCAGCATGTTCATGAAGTAAAAGTGCACATATTTCTCTTTACCACAATATTTGGACCTTCTAGTTGTTTAGTGGCCCTTTAAGGGGGGGACACCCCACTTAATTTTTTTTTATTTATTGGCAAATTTTGTTCAAACTACTATCTTTTATGTATTTTGACCTGCTGATTTCAAATATTACTTTTTCTGTGGAGCAAGTACTTTTCAAAATATTGAGAAATTTGTTTTTTGCATTGAATAATTTGGAGGCGTTTTTTCTTGAAAGCTGGTAGTAATAAAAGACAGTGCCATGTGAAAATGATGTTGTATAGTAGGAGCTTGCAGTGCTACAAAAATGAATGCTCTAGACTGATTTTAGCCAAAGTTACTGCATGTCATACTTTTGTAAGCAAAATGCTTTAGTAACACCTTGGAGAAATTATTACTTTTTGAAAACATCTCTCATGTTCTTTGTTCAAATTTTATGCCTACTGCACTCCCCATTTATCCCCGTTCTTAAAAAACAAGAATCACTGTAATAGGTCAAGTTCCACGAGAGATATCGTCACTCCAAAACTACACCATGATCAAAAACGCAGTTTTGAGAAATCGAGAAAAAACACTTCAGGACAGGTTGGACCTAATTATGGAAATTCTTCAGCACTACAGAGATCGAGGATGATATACAAGTTCAATAAGGCAAAAATGAATATTTTAGAATAATATTTAATAAAATTAGGGCATCTGAATATTTATTTGGAAAGCCCTGTAATAATTTCACAAAATTTTTTTATAAATGTTCTTTAATAATATGTAACTACGTATTAGTTCCACTGCACTTGTCAATTCATTGCCTTTCTGACAAAAAAAGAATTACTGAGACTGGTTGAGTAGAACCAGTGATATTGTTGCTCCAATATGACACCATCAGAATTGCCACTTGGAGAACCAAGTAAAAAAAAAGTTTTATTGAGCAGCCTCCTCTGCAACAAACCCTTTGACGCGAAAATATCATGAATGTCTGGCCGTTCCCGCTACAGAGCATTGTGCGTGTGAATAAAATGTTTATCTCGAATGCATTGCACACCTTTTCACTATCGACTCTGCGCAAGTTCCATGTCGTCAACACTTCGTCACCAGTCGCACTTCACTATCGGTAAGGCCGTAGTCGCGGTCACCCGTGACTAGTTTCGCACACCCGCCACATACTTTGCATCCATTCAGCCCATTCAGGATCTCCAAATAGACCATCAAATACGAAGCTGCAGTGTCCGCAGCGGAGACAGACGACTCGTCGCTTGCATCGGGGAAAACCGCAGTCTTTGACGCTGTCGCTTGTGTTCACTCAAGTCGTTCAGGCATGACCTGCTCACGAGCACTCACTTGGACTATGTCGCGGCTCATGACAGCTTCAGCGTCAACACGCACAAGGCTAGACTAGGCACGAGGAATGCAGTCGTTCTCGGGAAGATCGCAGTCCGTTGCATCTTCGCGGGTCACTTGCTTGTCGCTTGTAAGCCAGACAACAGCATGCCCTTATCTTGCAAGACTGCTTTGACCTGCGCCGACGATGTCGGATGCCCCGGCACTGTGAGTCGCTTGCCCATCGGTTACAGAGTGGTGCGATACCAAGCCTTCGTGGAGCGGACCGCAATCACCTCCATCATCATTATCGGGTGCTGAAGCAAGGACGCTCGCTTGCTGATCGCCTGTAGAAACCCGCGATGTCGTGCCGTTAGCCCGTTGTTTTTAATTTTGGCCTATATGATATACAGAGTGGAACTTTCTCTTTCCTCAGAATGCGTTCGTCGTAGGATCGTACCCTAAGCCAAAATAGTGCCTCAACGAGCCAGGTTTTCAAATACAGCGCCCTAAGCCAATCGGATGATGCCATTTTACCACGTGATCAGAAGTGGCCAATGGCGTTTTACTACTTTCTTTTCTTTTTTTGTGAAAGTGGCCAGCTCAGTGTTACTCAACTGAGCAATGAAGAGAAGCCAAATGCGACAGCTTTTCGATACCAAAATGACCGCGTTGGAGCGGGCTTCATTCCATTTTGCCCGGTTCCTGTGCATTGAATTGAAATTCGTAGAGTTCTAGTTATGCATCCAAAGCATCGAAAGAAAACTGTTTACACCTCAGTGATGGAAATGCTGCTCCAAGTGCTCCAAACTGCTCCAAAAGAGAAATGCTGCTCCATGCTGTTGAGAGCTAGTGCAGCCTGTGTAGCCAAAGCCGTGTAGCAAAAAGGCAGCCTGCTATCGTGGTGCGGAAAAATTGGTATACGTCCCAATTTTCTCCTTAGTGCAGCCTGTGTAGCCAAAGCCGTGTAGCAAAAAGGCAGCCTGCTATCGTGGTGCGGAAAAATTGGTATACGTCCCAATTTTCTCCTGTCGGTCTCGCGGCGTGGTTTTCCGGCCACTTCGGCTGCATAGTAAGGGAAAGTCCAGTGAGTTTTGCAGCATTTGCTCTTTTTGAAGTCAAGTGTTGAACAGGCCTTCCAAGAGACAAGCCCTGTTGTGTGCCGTTCATGTGTAGCGGTCAGCCGCGTATTTGTCATTTTCGGTGACTGGGGAACCCGTTTGTATAACACTGAATCATGGCGTATTTGATATAATGTAGTCCATCTTACACAACCTTAAATTTTCTGTCATCATCAAATTTGCATCAACCGCAATCGTAGGTCGGCAAAATCAATCATGAGTCCATTCACACAATCTTGGATCGAGTCGTGTGTATGAGTCCGGGTGAGTATTTGGTGAGCTGGAGTCTGACTGAGGTTGTACAGTTCAAAAAAAAAAAAAAAAATTGTGAGTGCGAGTTCAAGTGACTGATTGCAGACTTTGATCCTGTCTACTCGTCTTCAGCATTACTTTCAGCCTTGCCTAAATTCACGTTTACATTCAAGTCTACTAAACGTATTCCAAAACAGTATCGTTCGTACACCATTTCATTATTTAGTGATCAGAGAAGTGGATTACGTAAGGGGTACCTTCACCTGCCCCCGCCAAATTTCCCAGGGAAGCTCTTGATAAATATCTCCTTTATGGCCTTGTGTGAATAGTGAATTTTCTCTTCGAAGCGAATATTGATTTTGGTTGAATAATTTCAAATCGAAGCTTGGTCAAGAGTAAATAGTTCTATTCTTTTTATTTTGCATGTACTGGTTGTTCAGATAATCATAAAGCTGAAACACTGATTGAGGAGTTTGTCTGAAAACTGCTTTTTCTTGTGCGCAGGGTGAAGACACCGTTGACATGAAGCTGGACTTTACATTTGACTCTGAATTGGCCCAGTTTAGTGATGAAAAGCAGGCTAAACACATAGCTATTACACGGTCACTATCCAGTGAAATCACTTCTGCCAACTCTCCCATTTCACCTTCTACGGATGACCTGAATCTGAAGATAGCATCTGTAAAGAAGGTAACAACTCTCTTTGTGTGCTTTCGTAGTGCAATGGGTGAATGTGTGTGCCTCTTCATTATTACTTGGTGCTCATTTTTATAGCAATTAGATATATTTTATGGTTGCTCTTCCTAGTGATAAGTTAGTTGGTACAATTTATTGCCCTGGGATGGTGGTTGTGCTCTAGCTTGTCTTTATTTCAGGGATTGGGAAGGGGGGGATAAAGAGGTCTCGCTTTTTACTGAAAAATAGTTTAGAATTTCGCATAGTTTAAAATTATGCGAACTAGATCAGCGTGATGGAATAACACCGCCTTAACAGCACGCACATTGAGAGTAATAAAAATTTATCAAAAACATGGACACACATGCGTGTATTCTTGAAAATATTTTTTTATCAATATAAATAGTGCCAAGTATATAAATGCAGCAATATTACAAAATTTGTCACAACTGCATTACATAAGTAAAGCTTCTAGACAAGCCAAACACCAATAGAAAACAAACGTGCCTGACATGACAAATGTAAGTTCGACAGAGCCATACAGTGATGTAAAGTTTAAGGACAGTGTGTGAGAGCACAGTTGATACTTTGGCTGCAGAAATAAGGTGATCAGTCAGTCACCATCTTGATCGCCAAAACTCATGCAATTGGATCGTCAACAATAGTTGATCTAGGTAACAACGTTAGTGCCAGTGAAAACATGGATGAATGAAACATGAAAATGAAGACTGCGCATCCGTTCCGTCGTTGCAAAGATTGCTATCTCTCGTAGCTTCACTTCTGGTTTTTTACTTACCGTCCTGTAACTGTTGAAGCTACAAAACACTGCCGCTTTCGGCGACGTTGTCGACAACCGACGAGCTCGTACGTGAGTTGGGCCTACACCGGTGAACACCGCGAGTTTACTATCCTCCCTGTGCTGAGTGATAGCGGGGCTCTTCCTGAAGTTCACAGCGAACAAACAATCGCTACACCCTCTTCACAAATTAGTGCGGCGAGGAACTTCTTTACTGCGGCAGGCAGTCGACAGCACCATGACAAAATGGCGCATGTCTGTGTGCGTCACGATTAAGTAGCAGACGCCGGAAACGCCACTTGGCCAATGGGGTGCCTAGGTTTTGTCACGTGCCCCAAGCAGCCAATAGAATCGGGCGGTGGTGCTTCTCGATGACACGTTTTTGCTGAAAAACCAATGAGCAAGGTGAGCCACTGGTGGCGGGAAATTGAAGATGAAGAACGACCCTTCCAAACGAAACCAAGATGACCACGATAGCTCATGCGTAACTGCAACGGTTTGGCGTGGAAAAAGCGCGACTTCAGCGTCTATTTGGGCTCAGATTCATCTCTCAGGGGGTGTTATAAATTAATTTTGTGCCAGAAATAATGAGGCAAGAAACTTGAAACTTCTCAGATAAGTGCAAAAATAGTTGCAGATTCCGAACATGTCAACTTAAAAAAGTCTGCTTTTTTGCGACTTTCTGCCTTTTTAGACCTGTGTCCCCCCCCTAAATCAGTTCAGGCCTAGGAAATCGTTACAAGCGTTAACATAACGATTCGCTCACAGTATATGAATAAGATGCAAATTGCAAGTTACTGCTTGATGTCGCATGAAAATACTCTGTAAACTTGTCTTGCTTTTTGCACGCCGTCAAGTTTCAGTCATCCTCAATATCATTGAAGCTTTTGAAATAGAATTCACTTCTTTTGGCCACAACAGCATTGATCAACGCAAAATGCTGGTGCAGGCTTTGAAGCGCGGCAAAAGGTTGGTTAGCAGCGGCAGCGAAAGCATTGGCACTTTCGCGGCACCAGCAACGGCAGCCATGATCTCGGCATCGATGCAGTCAGAAACAGCTACGTTGTCATCTGCACAGATGAAGTCTCTCATTGCTGTCGGAGATGATGCTAGGAAACGCAGATAGGTCGCAAAATTTATTGAGGCTCCGTACACAGTTTTCAGCGGTCATGACGCACCCGAAGTCGTCCCCTGGCCCTAAAGTGAAGTTCAAGACTGGTTTACATGACGTCGCTCCAAGTGCCAGTTACAACGTTTATTGCTATGTGTGGGTCAACGTTCGCTTGAACTCCTGATTGAAGATTTATCAGGAACGAGGAGAGGTCCACAAGGCGCAAAAGACAACACAGAGTTCCCACCAACACGTTAGCGATATCGATGTCATTTGTGGCTTTCTAGCTGGCAGCTGCTGCTTTGATGCGAAAAAGTCGAATGCGTAGCCTCTGAGGCATGTGTTTTAAAAACCAGAAGCGCTAAAAAATGAGTTTTCGTATTTCGAAGGCCATGCTTTTCAGGATCGCGTGCCATTGTGCGCTAACAAACAAGGAAGGGAATGCAATGAAAACGCCGAGTCACTTGACAATCTCATTTAGGTGTTCTTGGCAATCCGTCTTTTTGAAAAACGCTATGCCCGCGCATTAAGACTTGTAGATTACCGGTGCACTCGCAAGCGCTGTGCAACAAATTAACCACAGTGGCACGATAGAATAACATCGTCTTTCCGCCACCTACACACGAAAATGAATCGGAACTTGTTAGAACGCGGCTGAAGATTGATCAATATTTGCCAAGAAAAATGCACTTTCTGTGCCAAGGCATGGTGCAGCATGCGATATGGCGTGTGTCTCGCTGTGCAGAAGTCAATATACGAATGCATCGATCCCATACTTTTGCGTGGGAAATTTAATGGGATTTCTCAGCTGTTCGATATAGCCAATAATTCTATATATCTGAGTTTTATATATTCGGGATTGACTGTATCAGCTGAGTATACGTTCTGATCCGCTGCCACATGATGAAATGTCTTCACCAACTATGACACTGGTGATTACTGTTATATCCATCCATCGACGTGCTGATGGCAGTGACAAAATGAACACAGTCTGGTTTGTGGCTGGTTTTGTGCGAATAGCAGACAACATTCTACAGGTCTGGGAAAGCATGGGGCCCCTGCCAACAGTACTGGAGCACAGTGCAGTCTCGGTTGCGGGGGACGACACTGGCAGTGCTGCAGTACAGGCCCAGAGCTTTGGCTCCTTTGGAGGCTCTGCTTCATCAGACACTTCTTTTGGGACGAGCAGCACGGCAACTGAAAGCATGGCTCAGCAGGGTCAAACAGAGCCAACACAGGCACCTAGTGAAGCTGCCTTTGGGTGAGTGTTTCACCTCATTTAGCATGTATCATGATTAACGCTTTTCCTGCTGTGGATGAGTATAGACGTGAGATTTTGTGCCAAAATGACCAGTGATGACTACTGTAATAACTGGAATATAGGTCAACCGTGGTACTTCGAATAACTTAAAATTGAGAAGCAAAAAAAATATTGGCACGCGTGTTTACAGGCAAGTTCAATGTGGCAGAGAGTCAGAAGAATTAGCTCAAGTGTAAGCTCTGTAGAACGTCGCAGCCCCCTCGAAAGCATTAATTACGCTTCAAGGTCAGCAATGAGCGCAGCTTCTGCATTAAGTCTGCAACCTCAGTCTCTTGTTCTAGATATGCTGCAGTCTGGCACTGAAACAAAGTTCTCTTCCGATTGCTGCACGTGATGCGATTCCTCAGCGCCGGCCAGTAGCAAATGCTTCTGTAGTTTACTCGATCTGCCTGTTGGTAGCCGTAGGTGCAGTTGTAACCAGATAGGCCAACATCGCAGAAAGCGACAAAGGGTATTTAGTGAGATTGGAGCAGTGAGAACACTCCTGCAGAGATGGACTTCCAGTTATTGTTTGTGATGCACGGCTCCTGCTTGCATTGACATGTGCTAGCATCCCAGCAGATGGCCCACACACTTCAGGCCAGATTTCTTGCCTTTGTGAACTCGATCGCTGTTTTCTTGAACACTACAGTAAGCTGTCCTCTGCCACCAATGGACAAAAACAAAAAGTAAAAAAATGAACTTGGATCTCTAATCGATTCACAACATGACAAAAATGCTAAGTTAGGTCACCCACAGCATGAGGTGTCAACTTTGTATGGCTGTTTTCGAAATGCTCCCACATTTCGGTTTTTATGGTCCACTCCTCTACTACAGTCGAACGGCGATATAACGAAGATGAATATAACAAATGATTGGCTATAGCCGGGAAGTGGGAGGAATCGCATGTGTTTTGGCCTTTTTATAGCGAACTAATTGGAACCCGCAGTGGATATGTGGAATTTCCCGCGTCTGAGCATAGCTCCGTAGCTAAGTACCGGCAAGGTGCAGCTGTTGTATACCTTCCTCATGAGGGATAGTTGTGAGAGTGCTTGCCAAATATGCTCCACCCCATTCTTATTCTTCTAGTTACTTCAGTCTCGTGGTTCGGCTCCACAGTTATTACCTGTCCTGAGTAGACAGTCTTTTACAACTTCAAGTGCACTATTATCTATCTCGAAGCGCTGTTCTCTTCCGACGTTGTTGTACATTTAGTTTTCTGTAGATTAAATTTAGGACCTACTTTTCTGCTCTCCTTGTCTTACTCTGTAATCATGAGTTGCAATTTGTCCCGTGAGTTACTCAGCAATGCAATGTCATCGGTGAAGTGCAGGTTACTTAGTACTCTCCATTAAGTCTTATGCCTAACTGTTACCATTCTATGGCCTCTGAAAACCTCCTGTAAGCACGCGGTAAATAGCATTGGGGAGATTGTACCCCCCTGCCTTACACCCTTGATTGGTATTCTGTTGCTTTCTTTATGAACCCCTATGGTAGCAGTAGATCCCCTATAGATTTATTCCAGGATGTTTATATGTGCTTTGTCGACGCCCTGATTCCGCAGTGTCTGCAAGACTGCTGATGTTTCTACTGAATCAAAGGCCTTCTCGTAATCTATGAAGGCTATGTACAGTGGTTGGTTATATTCTGAGCATTTCTCTATTACCTGATTGATAGTATGAACATGGTCGATTGTTGAGTAGCCTGTTCGAAATCCGGCTTATTAAAATGTGCTTTGTCGACGCCCTGATTCCGCAGTGTCTGCAAGACTGCTGATGTTTCTACTGAATCAAAGGCCTTCTCGTAATCTATGAAGGCTATGTACAGTGGTTGGTTATATTCTGAGCATTTCTCTATTACCTGATTGATAGTATGAACATGGTCGATTGTTGAGTAGCCTGTTCGAAATCCGGCTTATTAAAATGTGCTTTGTCGACGCCCTGATTCCGCAGTGTCTGCAAGACTGCTGATGTTTCTACTGAATCAAAGGCCTTCTCGTAATCTATGAAGGCTATGTACAGTGGTTGGTTATATTCTGAGCATTTCTCTATTACCTGATCGATAGTATGAACGTGGTCGATTGTTGAGTAGCCTGTTCGAAATCCTGCTTGTTCCTTTGGTTGAATTCCATACCTGCCAAGTTTCCCAAATTTGGACCGTTTCTTCCGTTTGTACGGTGTTTGTGCGTTATCTGGTCGCATTGACAAAAAAGCAGCTCAATCTGCTGCAGGTTTTTTCAACCTACCCCATTTTATTATGAATCAGTTCAAGAGTCGTTCATCTAAATGTACAGTAGAAGCTCAATGATGCGAAACCGCGGCAGATACGAATTCACGAAATTCCTCAGCGAAATTCTACTATGTCTATTGGGCTTAAATTCTGATGTGCCGAACACAATTCCTAATCTCGGAGGGTGATACGAACTTTAGTACGGAAACCGTCGAACAAAGGCCGAGAGCAGCGTACTCGAAGCTTCAGAAGTACGCGTGTGACCGGCGCACTCACTGTTTTCTACAGTGTGCGTGATTGTTGTTGCTACAACCGCTGTCGACAAAACCGTGGTCGCTTTTGACGCCATCATGTATGGCGAAGCCAGTTTTGCCGCAAAGTTGAAGCAATGAATGCAACAGCAACAACTTGGTATGTAACACTGAGAATGGCAAGTAGATCAAAACGCGCAGCACACAGCTCACGCACAAATGACCTACGAAAACAATACACATAAGATGAAAGCGAACTAACAACGTTTCCTGCTCGACACTTAACGCCCTGTTTAAACAAAACAAAAAAAAAGCGATGCTCGATACGTAATCACAGGTACGAATGAGTACAAACTAACAAGTGTCCCAGTTATACCTTGCTGTGTATGAAAAGTGTGCTCTTTTTGCAAACGGGGCCTGTGCATAGACCGAAGATACCTTTGTGGGGCCGGGCCAGCAACCAAAGCAATTCTGAAGGCACACGATTCTCCCCACCGAAAGATAACCGCGCACGCACAAGCTTGTTTCCCCCCCTCGCATCTGCGGGGCAAAGTACGCATCAGAGGTAAGCGCACATTGGCGCATTGCGACGAGCTGGGCACCGAGCGTGGGCGGCTTTTTTTCTTTCTAGAGTGTCAATATATATAGATAAGTGTACATATACGGTGAATGACGGCAATGGCGGGGACAGCAAAAAACCAGCCTAGACTGTCAATAACAAAGGGGCCAGACACGTTTTGGCGTCCCTGTCAAAAGAATCTAGTAGGGAGCAAAGCTTTGACCCGCGCTTTTGCAGCAGCCATCTGCGCCGTTAGGTCCGTTCTTGTGTGTCCTAGTAAGACATACACGAGCTGTTTTGAAGGAAATAAATTCTGCTAGTTGTGTTGTGTTGATCCTTCGAGACTCTCACCTTAGTGGGAAACCCTACCTTCGTGTGTTCGGTCACTCCAAGCTGACCGCAATGCTGATGTTTGCGCTTGCAATTGACCCCTCCCTACCCCCTCTTGTTTATCGCGATGTCTTTTGTTTGTTTGTTTGTTTGTTTGTTTGTTTGGCCTTGGGTTTTTTTTTATGAAATAGAAGCAAATAATTCAGCCCCCTCCAGCTGCGGAAATCTCCCGGATTCAGAATGCTTGAACTTCGCAGGTATGGAATTGTGTAATGTTGTCTTCATTCTATTAGCAATTACATTTGTAAATAGCTTGCATACTATAGAGAGCAAGCTGATCGGCCTGTAATTTTTCAAAGTCTGTGTCATCTCCTTTCTTATGTATTAGGATGATGTCAGCATTCTTCCAGGATTCTGGTACTCTTCCCGTCAGGAGACACCTCCTAAATAGGGTCGCTAGTTTTTCTAACACAATCTGTCCTCCATCCTTCAGCATATCTGATGTTACCTGATCCTCACCAGCAGCTTTGCCTCTTTACATGCTCTCCAAGGCTTTTCTTACTTCTATCATTACTGGTGGGGTGTCATCTGGGTTACTGCTAGTCCTTATATTAAGGTCGTCGTTGTGCTGGCTACTGTAGATAAAGGTCGTGGTTGTGCTGGCTACTGTAGAGATCTCTGTAAAATTCTCCGCTATTTGAACTATCCTATTCATATTGGTAGGTACTTTGCCTTCCTTGTTTGTCCCTTAGTGCATACATCTGTTTTTTGCCTATCTCGAGTTTTCTCTTCACTGCTTTGACGCTTCCTCCGTTTTTCAGAGCGTGTTCAATTCTCGCCATGTTATACCTTACGCTTATTAATCAACTTCGAAAGTTCTACCAACTCTATTTTGTCTGTTGTACGTGATGCTTGACGCTTCTTAGTGAGATTCTTCGTTTCCCTGGGACAGGTTGCCAGTGTCCTGCCTAACTACAGTACCTCCAACTTCCACTGCACACTCTGTAATGATACTCGTCAGATTAGCATTCATTGTGTCATTGCTAAGGCTGTTTTCCTTGATAAGAGCCGAGTACCTGTTCTGAAGCCAGACTCTGAATTCCTGTACTTCCCCTCTTAGTGTTAGCTCATTGATCGGCTTCTTCGTATCAGTTTCTGTGGTTCCTTTTTCAAGTCTAGGTGAATTCGAGACCGTACCATTCTATGGTCACTGCATCGTATCTTGCCAAGCACTTCTACATCCTGCAAGATGCCTGGGTGTGCACTCAGTATAAAGTCTATTTCGTTCTTATTTTTGCCATTAGGGCTAGGGCTCCTCCATGTCCACTTTTAGTACAAGGTACAAGGTATTTGGTACAAGGTATTCAAAATCCATAAATTATTGCATTCTGCGAATTCTAATAGTACCTCCCCTCTGGCATTTCTAGTACCAATGCCATTATCTCCTACTGCCTGGTCTCCAGCCTGTTTCTTCCCTACTTTTGCATTGAAGGCTCCCATCAGTGTAGTAAACAGTGTTCTAACCTTACTCATTGCCGTTTCCACGTCTTCATAGAAGCTTTCAACTGACACGTCATCATGGCGGGACGTAGGCGCGTAAGCCTGTACCACCTTCATCTCTTATTGAGTTTAATTACGATACCTACCACCCTTGCATTAATGCTATAGTATTCCTCTATGTTGCCAGCTATGTTTCTCCCCACTCCCAGTTCTCTTCTGTCAGCCAAGTTCCGATGGCAAAGGACGTGTCCGTTCTGTAGCACTGTATAGGCCTCATCTGTCCTCCTAACCTCACTGAGCCCTATTAGATCACATTTAATGTCCTCTAGCTCCTCGAATAGTACAGCCAGGCTTGCCTCACTAGATAAGGTTCTAGCGTTAAACGTTGCCAATTTCAGGTTCCAATGGCGGCCTGTCCGGATCCAGAGATTCTTAGATCCCTCTGCTGCGTTGCAGATCTGACCGCCGCCGTGGTCAGTTGCTTCGCAGCTGCTGGGGACTGAGGGCCGTGAGTTAATTGATGTATGCATAGGGGAGATAGGGGCCAGATACTGCACCAGGGAGGCCAATCCTTCTCTGGTGAGGGAGTGCGTTACCGACAGTGGTCACTGATGAGGCTGAACCCCAGGCCTTTTAATGCAGTTCCATCACCAAGCGGATTTTTTTTAATCCGGTTGGGAACTGTGCAGCTCCGGGATTCGAACCACGGACCTTTTGCATGCGAGGCGGATGCTCTAACCACTACGCCGTCGCTGCTCTTCATGGCATATATATAGCCCAAAATGGCACTCGACAACATCCGTCTGCCAGATCCCCACTCCAAATCGAAGGGATGCCCTCCTCGCTTTCTCTCCTGAAAAACTTTTCTGCCTACACTGTTGTCTGTAATCGTAGAGAAATGAAAAACATGCCCGACAGTTGTTCACAATGGAATTGTACAAGTGTAAAGGTGTCTGAATATTCGGAATTTCAGATATTTTTTTAATAGGTGTTAGCATTTGTTCGAGCTGCAACAGTGAGCATCTAATTTTTATTTTAATTTTTGTGGGCGCACGCAGATCTGTGTCTCCACTAAAGCCAGCTACAGCGTCCCCCCTGTCGCACCATGTGGCATCTGTAGTAGGTGCTGGCCATCACACTTCTACCAGTGGTCACCCCCACCACCCTCATCACAACCATCACCTCCAGCAGCAGCCTCAAGTGCAGCCTCAGCAGCATTTGTCTTTGGCAGTCCATCATCATCATTCACAGGCCCATGGTAGCTTGCAGACACCTCAACAGCAGCAGCAACAACAGGCCATGATGCGACAAACTCACCAGCCACACACCATGCTGGATCAGCAGAATTTATCGAAGGTGAGTACAGTGAAACTGTAATGCATTTGATTTCCCTGCACCTGTCAAACCAGTTCGCACACCCTGCCATTTGTTTCAGCAGCACATTAGTGGTGTACTCCGAACTACGCTGTTTATTTCAAGAGGTGCTGGGCTGGTTTTTGATTTTTTTCACACTAGCTTTCCTAATGGTTTCAGCTTGTTGCGTGTGTGTGGCTGTGAAGCAGCAAGACAATACATGGATGTAGGCTGTGGGGACCTGCCACGGCGGTCAAAATGTTATGGTGCTTGACTGCTGACCCACAGGTTGCAGAATCAAATCCCAGCTGCGGCGACCACATTTTCGATGAAGGCGAAAATGCTGGATTTTAGTGTTGGGATGTTAAACCTTTTCACTTATTTATTGCATGTTACTCCTATATTTCAACTGGCATCTTGTGAAATAAGTCGAACATGCATGCACTGCCAAACACTTGTCACCTCACTGTGTGGGGAAAAGCCCCACCCCGGTGGTCTAGTAGCTGAGGTACTCAGCTGCTAACCCGCAGGTCGCGGGATCGAATCCCGGCTGTGGCGGCTGCATTTTCAATAGAGGCGGATATGCTATAGGCCTTTGTGCTCAGATTTGGGTGCACTTTAAAGAACTACAGGTGGTCGAAATTTTTGGAGCCCTCCACTATGAAGTCTCTTGTAAGTTTTGGGATGTTAAACCCCACATATCAATCATAAATCACTGTATGGAGAAAGCAGGTTTTCAGCCATCGTAGTATGAGCCTCAAAAATGTGAGGAGTCCGGACACAGAACTCTGACACAATTCCACGCCGTACGCATCAAGCAAGTCCGTTCGAACAGGAAGCGAGACAAAGTGTCGCTAAATGCAAAATTCTCAGCGCTTGCGCCGCGGCCACAGGTGCGCGAGGAGCCTCGGAGTACAGGATGCGAGAAGGGCTACAGTACCCACCTGCACCACTAGTGAGCCTCAGAGTACAGTAGGATCTTCATGATATTTCGTAGGAAGCACACGGAATATTCGCATTATACTGAATTCGTATAAACTAAAACAAGTTCAAGCTGGTCGTGAAGGTGAATGAAAACTTTGTTGGAGTCAACTACTACTTGCTGAAAAAGTTCTCTCGGGTTTTTCTGCCTTCGCTGTCTCACAAGAAGGCCTCCTGAAAGGAATAAAATTGTGCCGCGGCAAAGCAAGGCTAATTCCTGCAAGTTTTAGCGCATTCGCTTCCTTTGAGGCCTAGTGTGACTAAGCCTTCCTCCCACAGACAAGCAGTGTTGCATAAGTCAATCACCCGTTGTATCATCTGCGGTGGCTGAGGAAACTGTCCTTTTAACACCGAATTATGGTGCGTTGTGTATAACTGAGTTCGTCCGAAACAACCTTGTACTTTGGATAAACTGTAATTGTATCATTGAGATTATATTGTAGTAGTCAGCTGGAGCAAACGTGGCAAAAAGAAAAATGTCTGCTAAGACATCATTATAGTTAGTATGGACCGTACAGTGGTGACGTGAGGGAAGTGGGGGGTTCACCATGGGTCACTTTGCTCAATTGAATGCGCAAACTTAAAATTCATGTAAAGTACCTTCCAAGCTATGTTCGCTGTTGATATTTTGCAGATGTACACATGTAGTGTGCATTATGTTAACAGAAATCGATCCAGCAAGCTATCCTTGTGCCACAAAATTTTGTGTCGGTACCCCTTTAAAATAGCATAACTTGAAGGTTTTACTTGTTCGAAGGACCTAAGGTGTGTTGTGTATTTTAGGTGAGGGCCCTGCACGCACTGAGCCCACCGCCAACAGCAGCAGCATCGTCCTTGGCTGGTTTGGATGTAAGGGCCATGGCAAACCTTCAGGTGGCAGGCATGCAACAGGCAGTGGCTAGCCCTCCTGCTGCTTTGCTATTTACAAGCACCCAACAGGTAAAGCTAATTGTTCACTGGGCATTTCTAATGATTTTACTCATTGTGATGAACACTTAGAGCCAATCCCCTGACCTATTTGTGATTGATCATCGTTAACTGACTAAACACCAGAATGCATGTTGTCTAAGTTTACAATTTAATAGGTAAAAGACGTGCCCATTTCACTTGCAGATGACACAGCCAGCGGCACTGTATCAGACCCTGCTTCAGGACCCTGTGCCTCGTCCTGTAGCCCACCAGTTCTCACAGGCTACTCATGGCTATCCAGCTCCACCTTACCAGAGTTTTAACCAAGGGGGCATGTTTGTGCCCCCTCCACCAACACACTCTGGGCCGGACATGTTTGCAGCCACTGGAGCTGCTTTGCGGCTACAGCCCACGTACCAGACGGGGCCCACAAGTCAGGTGCTGGGCCAGCAAAGCCTACCAACTGCACCACAGCTGTTGGGATCTGGCCGTGCAGCTCCTGGGGGGGCACCTCTGGGCACCTCGTACTACCCATCCCAGGGTGGCTACTACCCATCTCAGCAGCAGAACCAAGCACTGGCCTTTGGCTCGCAGCCACCCCTTCATCGCACCTTCCATCCACCGCCCTTCAAATCTTTGGAGCTTGCCACAGATTTTGGTGCCACGCTACAGCCCAAGACCCAGGCAAACAAGGCCTTTCCCCCAGGATCACCCTTCGCCTTCGGCCAGGGTCGGCAGTCTGCACCATCCGGTGTAGCCACCACAGGGGCTACTCCGAAGGGAAGTTCCTTGCGACCACCACCAATGCATGTGCTGCCACTGCATGCAAACCTGGTACGAGGCACCCCGCCGACTGCACCTACCAAGTATCCTGCGCCTATTCAAAGGCCCCAACAGGGTCTGACGCTGACCTCTACACAACAGGCCCGGGGTCAACCTGCAGCTGCGCTACGAGCTCAGCAGGTGTGGCAACCCTCCAGGGCACATTAGTTTTTAAGGCATGCACTTGGTGAGGGGCAAAGTAAAACCAAACTGCGTAGCATTAAAGTTGCTGTATGTTTGCAGCCACCAGCACGTCAACTGCCCACCAGTGACCAGCAGGCCAAGCAGCAGGCTGAGGCGGTCAAACAAGCGCAGTTATTCTTTGCCCAGTCCAAGCCAATGGCCCCTGAGCCCACCACGGAAGATGTGGTCAACGAAAGCTCCGACGACAAAGCTCCCAAAGAGGCAGCTGAGGAGTGAAGCTCACCAGCTGGGCTGGGACTGGCTGGCGCCTGTCAGGCCCTCACCGTCGCTTGGTTGTCTCTGGCAAATCACGTGCTGACTTGCCTATTTTTGTCTTTGCCTACACTGTCCCTGCTACCATAAAGGACTGATGTGGTCCACGGTTTAATAAAATGTGGTTTCTCCTAACCCACTCCCTGTCTAATCTTACATTTCGATCACCTGTTGCCTTCAGCAAGGCATCAAAGATAGGAATTCATTTTTTTACATGTGTGTTGATGGGGGCAGTGGGGGAACAAGGGAATTATCTGTGTGCGAGCGTAAGTGTACAATGCTACTGCTAATTCATAGCCCCCTTCTCTGTCCTGAGAGTTTTTGTTTTCTGGAAAAGGGTAATGAAATTGGTCTGGCGAGCTTCAGATGGTATAAATATTATACATATGTATAACAATGTGCAACTTGCCTGTAGTGTAATAAGTGTGTAACATGCCTGTATTGTAGCTGGTCGTGTTTTCATGGGCAGGAGACTGCCATGCTTTTTTGAAATGACAAATATTTTTCACCTTTTTTGGAGGGTCTTTTATTTTTGCCCTATAATATGGATTTTCCCCTAAGCATGTTTGCCGCCTTCCCGTGGTTGAATGTATCTTTTTGAGTCTGTGTTTATAAAGCAGGAATGGTAGAAGATTGGGTCACCAAGAACTTTTTTGGTTCTTGTGTAGGAAACAATTTCATTTATGCCTCCTGTGCTTTTTTGTTGCATGCTTTAGATCTTTATTTACAAGAGGAGGAGGAGGCAGGAAAGAAAGGCAGGCAATCCCTCGTGCTATGCCTGATCCTAAATGATCAGGCATAGCATGAGGGATTGCCTTCTTTTGATATCTTTTTAAAATATGTATAAGTATGCTGCACAATTGTGCCTGCGCCATTTGAATGAAATAAATGTATAAGTATGCAGCACAATTGTGCCTGCGCCATTTGAATGAAATAACTACTTTTGTTACAAAAGAACACGGGGCATTTGATTGCCTTGTTTTTCTTTAATAAGGATTTTCAATAAGTACGCAGCGTAATTGTAGCTGCACCATTTGTTGAAGTAGTAGTTTTGTTACAGATGAACTGGAGGCGTTTTGGTGGTGTTTAAAAATGCTTTATGTGGCAAGAACAGTATTGGGTGCACAATGTACATTTGGGAGTGATGTGACAACTTATCAGTTTATACTGTGTAATTAGTGTCTATAATGGTGATAAACTGCCATCAAGTTAATTGGATGTTGTCACAATGGAAGTGTTGTGCAGTCATTTTTGCCATGCAGCAGGCTGGTATCTATGGCAATGTCTTGTCCGTTGACTTCTGGGGAAAAGCATGTGCTCGAATTTTTTCCCTTCCCCCTTTTTTAAAGGTTGTGTGGTGATCTGTCAGTTAGCATTGCGCTGCATTTACGTTTGTGTGGACTCTTCTAATTACCTTGAAGGTACTGTAGTTCAGTGTAGGCGCTGGAAGCCATGTGATTCATCTAGGATCTGTGTGGCTGTCGTAAATCCTTCCCTTCTCCAATTTTCTTCCCCCCGGGATACTTGCAGAAGTGTCATTCTGTGCATTTTTGTTGCCTCGATTATTTTCTATTGAAAATGTGATGGGCACTTAATTGTACGAGGAGAGTTGCTGTACGTAGTTGCTGCAATAAAGCACGAAGGATTATGCATCTGGTTCTTGCCCATTTTTGTGCCAGCTTGGATGCGAATCTAACTGGTGCACATTTTATGCACTGTGCAAATTTAACCTGCTACATAATCCACATTCATACAAACTATGTTTGGTTTCTGTTCTTGCAGTCCAAGAGCAGTGCACCCTGAATAGTTCTAGAGAACTTGGGCATTGGCACAATGCATGGTGCAGTAACATTGTGGAATACTATGTCACTTCATCACTGCTTATCTGATAAGCATACAATATACAATCCTGTGCAGGCTACTAAAGATTTTGCATGCATTGTCCTGCACTAAAACTGCAAAATGACTTGCGGCAGAATATTTTTTTCACCTGGATATTTTGATGGCTTGCCTCTCAGTTTGCTGACAAAGTTCACTGCTTGGTAGATATCTGTAGCATAGTATGCAAACAATTTAGTGCTCGGTGCTGGTGCATTGTTTAGAAGTATGTGACAGGCAGGGGTGCAACAGCTGTGCCAATTTGGTACAATTCCCCATTCTTGTGCTGAGCTGCGCCAAAACCATGAAATTTGCTTAAATTGTGCCACACTGCGTCAAAATGCCTGACCAGCCTCAAAATTTTCTCACTTGAGCTAATTTCAGCGAGAAATGGAGGCCACGTGTGTTGCCCACCTGCAGTTTGAGTCATCAATCAGTCCAAACGCACTGACTTTAACCTTAAACCACAGTAGCCTAACCACGCTAACCTTAATCCTATTAGGTCAAGGCACTCCTGAGATGCAATCAACTAGATAAAGTAACAAAGCTGTGCGCCTGTCGGTCCGCTGACTGTAACGAATACCCATCGGCGCAAGTTCTAGACAAAAATGCCTTGCCATAGCCAAGAACGCTTCATGGTAAATATGAACTTCTTTGTCAGCAAAAGCGGCTATTCGCATATGAATATCCTCAACGATCCATTCTGGGCCCTAATGCTAGTGGTTTACATTTTAATGATTAAGTAGATACAAATAATTTTTGAAATTACTTGGACATATTGTGTCACTAAAAACTTTTACAAAAAGCCAATTCTAAAAATGTGCATAATGTGCACACAGATATGACCAGCTTTTCTGCATTCACTGATGTCTGGGGGGGGGGGGGGCTCCCCCCCCCCCCCCCCCCCCCCCCAGAAGAAAGTGGAATGGCTATACTATCTTCATTTGTTGCGAAATGGCACAGGAATGACCGAAGGCTGCGAAAATGGAGTTTTAAAAAATTCTAGCTAGAAGCCAAGAAAACGAAACTTTGAAGGGAGCTGGCTTTATTTTTTATTGAAAGAATGCAGCTTTGTGGCTATTTTGAGCTCTGTTCTGTCCTCATTACAATGATACCAGCATGGGGGTTCTGTGCCACAGCAAAGCAGCAGATTTACATTTTCTAAAGCCCAATTTTCACTCGGCTTTTGGCGACAGCCCACCAGTAAAAGCTTTTTTCTCAATGTGCACTATTTATATTGGTCTACTATTTCACCATGATGTAAAATATGGCATCAGGATTGTAGAAAAAAAATTCATTGAAAAACAACATTTTGGCCAAATTTACCATTTTTATCACCACGTGCCCCCTACCTACAGTCCTAAACTAGTCTCTTCTGTCCGTTTCTGCACTCATCTAGTGAACACTCCAAGTACTGCCATCTGGCATCCCTTGTGGTACACACCCGCTCTAGAGCGGGTATGTGTCACCGGTGGCTACGTACTACTACATACATACAAGGGAGGTACAGACCCACGGCTTAAGGAGCTTTGCCCCTAAAAGGGGGGGGGGGGGGGGCGTAGTGGTGTTCGAAAATTTATTGGCCTTGGTCTAACCACATGCACAGCTCGAATGCACGCAAGAGGTAGCTTTTCGCATGCTACAAACGAGATCGTATCCATCACTGGGCCGACTTGGTCGTTAACAACTCGGACATAGATTCACAATGCCCAGACTGCTCAGAAGTGTACTGTTCACTTGAACATATGCTCTGGCAATGTCCCGCGTTACCTCGAGGACCTCTCACCGGTGAGTCCGACTGGGAGGAGGCACTCAGGAGCCCCAGTCTCGGAAACCAAAAAGGCAGTCCAGAGGGTCCAAGAACTGGCGGAACGCCACCACGTTCCCGCCTCGACCTGGGCGTCGCCTACAGTAGCGTCTGCTAGAATGTCCCTCGTGGACACCCTGGTGGCTTAGACTCCTCAGAACCATTTAATAAAGTTCTTGACTGACTGACTGACTTAGTCTAACCCGTGCAGAACACTGCTTAAACCGCTTTCGCCACAATACATCGGTGCCCTGTATAAAAACCTATTATGATTTGGAAGGGGCTGTTGGCACTACTCGCGAGACAGCAAATTTCGTTAAATTACTCATGCCTGTATACTACCGCATAATTGTTAGCAGTAGTATGACCGCTGATGTCTGAAAAAGTTACTGGCATTCATTAAAAAAAAAACAAGTTTTTGCCACCCCTACTCCTCAGTTCCACGAATTTCAAGGTCGCTTGCTTGGCATATCCACCTTTTAATTCACTTATTCTGTCAAAGGATTTGAGACGTGGCAAGTGCTAATGTGGACTTTATCATTGCTTGCCAGTGGGGTAGATCGGAATACTAGTCTTATTGAAACAGCAGTGCTTATGTTTACTCTGCATGATTTAGGTAATGTTGAATAGCTTGAACATAATTTTTTTTCTAAATGCAAGCCTTCTTTGCTCCAAATTTGGTCTTTCGTGACAAAAAAAATAGATAATCTATTTCCTGTAACCTGCTGCAAGTTTGCATTTTAGTGCTCCAAAAGTAAGATTCTATTGCTTCAAAAATTGCTCCAAATTTTATTTCGGCTGTTGCATCCTAGTGCATATGATCATCGAACCGTTTCCGCCAGATGTGTGGTACATACCCATGGGTGGGTATGTGCCACAGGTGATTTATAGTTCATGTCCATTGATAACTTTAAAATGAGGAGGTTAAGAAAAAGCTAACATTATAGCGTTGACCTGACGAATGCAAGAATTGTAGGCCTGTGTGCTCAGATTTGGGTGCATGTTAAAGAACCCCAGGTGGTCGCAATTTCTGGAGCCCTCTACTACGGCATCTCTCGTAATCATATGGTGGCTTTCGGACGTTAAACCCCACATATCAATCAATGAATGCAAAGAATAAATACAAGGGCCCTGAAATCGAGCCCAAGCATTCTCCGTGGCAATTAAATATTCTACCACAGAGCCACACCATGTCTTGGTACTGTTATAAAAAAATACTCTATTCAGGTACAATGTTGGTGAAACGTCGATTGTGGTTGCAGTGCTGGCTATGCAATTTTATGAGCATTACATATGTACTCCTGTGATACAGCCCTCTCGTCGGCTAAACGTCAATTGTAGTTAAGTGCTATCCACTGAAGTTGATTCATGTAGCCAGTGTCGTAGGCTTCCATCCATGCAAGTACAAGCATTATATGTCGGCTTACCACTTCTCGTGTTGCTGTTGGCGTCGTGCAAGTGTAAACTGGTTATACAGGGCGTGTCGGTTATCATGCAGCGCGATTTTAAAAAAGAGGAATGGCATTACATGAAGCAAAGGTAGTGGATATTGTTCCCAGTGTGCTGTAGTAGCTACTTCTAATGTTTGCATTAATGACAATTAATTAGTCATAATCATATTTGTAACTCAAAAAGTACTGGCTTGATTATCAAAATGTCAAGGCAGATGTGCACATGTCAAAATGACATCTGTTTACGCTGCTTTGAACAACGTCCCAATTGTGTGCTCACTTTTTTCTGTTAATAAAGCCTGAGAAATACAAAAAATAGCACGCGACTAGACGGCTACGTTCATCAGAAAGAAGACCCTCAAACACACTTTGAGATTGCCAGTAGCAATGGAGGAAATATAGAAATAAAAAATGTAGATCGGACTATCTGCCACATCCCATCCAAAAAAACGCCCCACCTTGATCTTACACAGGATGTAATCTCTCAGAACAGTGATCCGGCCACGTTACCAATGATCACAATTGATCGTGAGAAATGAATGGTAATCGCAACATACAATCAAGAGGAAAGAGTCCCTGCAAAACTGCGACATAACTGCAACCCTTGCCAATGTGCAAGATACTGTCTTTGGCAACGGAAAAGAGGCAAAGCGGTTGTTTCCGGTAAGATTATTTGAGGGCACTGCTTTCTTTTGCGGTTGTGAGTGTAGTCACGTGTTATTTTTCATATTGTGCGGGCGTTTTTCACAGAAAATAATGAGCACGTAATTAATACATTGTTGCAAGTTGCACCGACAGGTGCAATTGCCACAAGTGTACATCTGCTGCATCACAGACATTTTGATAATTAGACCAGTACTTCTTGAGTTGGAAATATAATTATGACAAATAAGTTAATGGTCATTAACAAAAAAATTAGTAGAGGCTACTTTAGTTTACTGGGAACCATAAGCACTGGGTTTGTTTCGCATTACGCCGTTCCTGTTTTTGTTTTAAATCGTGCTGCGTGATAACTGGGACGCCCGGTATAATGTGTGACTGTTCAACATACCTCAATCTGTACGACATTTTTACGTATATTTAGAGTCATTTCATAACGTGTCGCTCAATAAAGAAAATTACAACACGGTCGTCTTCCCTGTGCATGCTTCACGTAACGTCGATTCCCAAGGTACGTGGGATCTGCTGAATTTTTTTTTGTTTCAAAGTACGACGTAATATGAAGGACAAAAGGGAGGCTAGGTGAGGGAAACTTGCGGTAACTGTTTTACCTAGAGCCCTGTGAAAAAATTGGCTAAGTGCTGTCGCTGTCTGAGACCACAATTTTGTTGGCCATTCTTCTGCATGTAAATTGTTTTGAGAAAAGAATTGAATCTTTGTATTGTGTGAGCCACAATGAGGTCGAATGCTATTACGGAACATTTTATTTGCAGCGATTAGTTCTTTAGAGCAATGAAAGTGTCACTATTGTCAACTGTGCGAGAAATTCGGGCAAACGTGTTACCCACTCCAGGACACA